TTTATTTAGGTAATATGTCTAAGTTTAGTTGGGAAATTAAGATATCATCATGACAAGGCTGTGACACAAAATTGACGACAAATTATAAATTAATAAGGTACGTTCCAAAAATGAAGCGATAATGAGTTACGAAGATTTACAAGATAATTGAACAGACACGCGTCGGTTTAGTGCGCTAATATCGATAGTAAATACTTTTAGAGAGGCTAATCATACGGGCCGACTACTCTGATTACATAAGTTACTCATACAACGGTATTAACGACAAATATGTTGAATTTATTTACTTTACTGCCTAACTTAAATAAATAAAATGTGAAACCTGTTTTATGTATTGTGATGTAATCACTTACACTTGTCTTGTATTTTAAACTATTCATTTTCTACGGTCACTTCAATAACTTACGATTACATCGAAAGCATGATAAGATTGGAACAATATAATGTACATTCCATATCTGTCTTTCATCAAATCATCTTGCACTTAAAATAACAAGTTAGAAGTACATTTGTTCAATATAAAGGTCAGGGACTATTAAAGTATACCTATATACTAACAACACGCAAAACTGCTTCCTTGAAATGGATATGAGTAGGTCACGAAACCTCGAAAGATCGGTATGACGTAAAAATATAATACACCCACTTTCTACACAATATTGAGCAAAACAATATAGAGAAAACAAGAATGGTACTGCGTCCAGGCAGGCATCATAGGCCTAAGCCTAATGAACCGATAAAACGGAGAAGGTCAAGCCAAATAGGGGGGTATATGTGGAGTGGAGGCTCACAAATGACCTATTTCCCAAGGGAAACAAAGCCATTTATGAACATAATAAGTTAGTATGCAAACGCTCACTTAGATATACCGATCATAAACCTTGAATTATGAGGAAAGAAATGATAATGTAACGTGTTGATATTAAATAATTCTGCTTGACAGGACACAGGCAACTAACGAAGCAAGCAAAAGTAATAGTTTTCATTTAAATAGAAGATTTATGAACATAAAGTCCTTCTCTTTCAACAACCTGGATTGTACCATCAATATTTACATTCACTTTCTGAAGTGATACAATTGTAGAAACTATCATCAAATCTACGACAAAAGAATTAAATCCCACATAAGCTGAACAAACTATTCTTTTAGTCCGTCGTACAAATAAAACTATATTTGACGAGTTCGTTTCGAAACGCACTTAAGTTACCTTGAAGTTTTATCTAGGCGACTACGAACTAAGAACTACATTTTTATTTAAAACGTCTTAGGCCTTCGAAAAGTATGACTCAAAATGGGCGAACCCATAGTTACCTGATGCCATACTCCTACCGAGTAGGTACTCTCTTGCAATCGTCAAGTTGATGACATATCATGAGTAGCTACAGTCAAGTACTACTCCGCTAGCATAATGAGGCAATTATGGGTGAACAACTGTTGCAAAGTAAACTGCAACATTTTGAAATATAGGTAAAAGCTCTTGAGAATAAATTATCCTTATGTTACTTGCCCCAAATCTGCATGTTTCAGAAAGGTCTTAACGGATTAAGACGCGATCAAAAACCCGTAAACGCGGCTGGATTTCCAAATTTTCATAGGAAATTACTGTTACATTCCTTTGAAATTCCATCGGAGCAATTTCTAAAACATTATAGACAACAATATCACAGTAAACCAAGAAATAACTGAGACAAATAATAAAAAACATTGTCGAGCGGTGATCATTATCATGGCCATTATTTTAGTTATTGTATTGTGTTCGTAAACAACGATGATTATCTGCACAATACAGAATAACAAAGTAAGTCAATAAGTAAGAATTCGTATTTCTATTGAATAGCTACTAAGTACCTTCTTTGATCTTTGTCTTTCCTCTGTTTCACGTGATACCTATAGATAAATTGATTTTACTTCTCAAACATTTAATTTCTCGTGTGATCTTGTAAACAAAATGCACAATGATTGGCTAATGACATGTCATGACTTAGTATTCACATAGCTTGTAAAGGTTTCGCGATATCAAAGTTACCTTTGACCTATTCTTGATAAAGTGCTTCCTCTTTCCATTATCTGTTTATTTCATATTAGAATACATTCGACCTTCTATATAGTGTCTCTTTTCCTCTACAACAGAATAAAGTTCAAAAGAAACATTCCAAAAATCTTGTCTTATTATTCGCTTCAAGTTACGAAGATATTGGTAAAAATTCTTCTCAATAATAATAGTAAGTTGTTTGGAGCAAATAATCTTAGTTCAGCATGATCCGTTCCTTATGTTATTACGTCGACGACAAAGCTTTTAGTAATGTCGCCAAAATTGTGTCAAGCTTACTAGATATTTAAACAATTGCTGAAGCACGTCTCTATAAGTAATATTATAATATTCACTAAATAGAAATGTAAATAGATAAAGCACTCCAATATTCAAAGCCATTAGTTATGTTTCCGAGTTGACCTTACTTTAATGTGTTGTCTACAATACTGAAGAATGACAATTCAAATAATGTGATTCACAAATCAATCTTATTATTCGTGCCAATAAAATTCATATTAGGCGTACTATTGCTACAATAGGAATTGATTTGTATCATCGATACCACGTTGTTTATAAGCATGTAAGGTATATTTGAAAAAGCTAGGTATTTCAATCAGGAATGTGAAAATTGAAATAATAAATCATGTTTATGGAATTATCATTTAAATTGTGTCTCTCTCTTAAATGACTTCAAACTATTGCCAAAATTATTCAGTACCATCTCCATCGCAATTCATGGCACAAGACCGACAATTATTTATGAATAAATTATTATTATACGTTCGCAAATAATTATGAGCAAACCAGTTCAAGTGACATTACATTTAACAGTTGAGAAATATCTCCGACGGTGTTCTGCCTAATATAACGTCATAAAACCAATCCAAGAAAATTCTAAGCGGTATAATCTGGAAATAATAACTAGCCTACGATTATTATTATATTTGTAGAGATAAAAAACGAAATGACTTCCGTGATGTAAGTATTTTTTGCTGGAGTACAATCAAGTTATGTTGGTTCGTGATATTGGAAAGAAAATATCACTATGTAGAACGTTTTGAAATACGGTTTCGAATGACTATCACGCAAGATGTGAACGATAGGCACACCGTATGTGTCTACTTCTTGCTTCACACCTAGGTTCGTGTAGATATGTAGCTCAGTGAGTTTCCCTAGCTAAGGTACATTAAACTGTTTCGTTTTCTCTTCTGCTAATCTCCCAGATAAGATTACTAGCTCAGATTCAATACTTAGTGTGAATCTGAATTTGACGCACTATATTAAAACGGGAAACTAGTTTACGTAATCTCTAAAAAACGAGCTCGTTTTTTAAGACACCATCATTTATAACGACTTTCTTTTATTTTCGTTTAATTTACCGACAAGACTTTTCACTTCGTGTAAAAACTGGCAATGCAGACGATCATTATTGGAGCAATCGCCGCGTCTGTTTGATATTCATTGGTAGCTAGTACATTTATAAACTAGTTGATTGAACACTGAACAACGGAGAATGGAAATGACAATAACATGTTTCGGTTCAATAAATGTGTTACATTACATTAAATTGTTATATAACACGTAATGATATGACACAGATGTAAGCGTGCGTCTCGTGATGATAGTTGATTGTCAGAATTAAATTGAATGCACGCGGCTCGTTCTCGCTAATTTATCTGACTTACGCCTTGTTTCAAACGAGGGACATTATTACGTCCAGCTCTAACTGTCACCACGCACTGATATAAGTACCTACAAGAAGTTTTAGATTTACGAAAATCTGGACCTGTCTACTGGTGTCGCGTGGATCTTATTTATCTTGCGATTTTGCGATACGATGTTCGATTACACTACAAGATAAAAACAAAATCTAAACTAACAGTGCGATCTGCGATAGTTTCGTTAGTTTCTGAGAACCAAAGGGTAATGTTTAACAAATGAGGAAAACTTGTAAATGTTATTGTTAGAACTGCACATTATCAACATCGAACCCGCATCCGTTACATATACATATACTATTAACAAATAATGTTGAGACATCGAGTTCAAGCCCTTGAAACTTAACTAAAACTTGTCGGTCAATGTCAATTCATTGGAGTAGAACAAGGTAGAGGTTGTAGGGCGATGCAGTCTTCTAGTTCGACATTGAGACAATTTGATATGGGCAGGTACCCATATTGTAAAGTTCTGCTCAGTAACAGTAGCGCAAAACTTACAAACACGTGTAACCAGAGTGTGTTCATGTGTCAATAAAGTTTTAGGTGAGTCATTATGAAATTAGGTACGATCATAAATCTGGATTTACAATAAAAATACGATGTTGGATGTGTCTACAAAATATAAATACATTTTGAACCTCAGCTTCAATTCATTTTGTTGTAAAAGGTGGAGGTCTATAACATCGACCTTATCATAAATAGCTTTATAAATAACAGCAGTCGTAATCAGACCGAGACAATGCATATTTTTTCCAGTTCACGCTGTATCAATGACCTCTTTTAACAACTAAACGACAGTCGCGAGATCAACGAGGAAAGACCTTTAGAAAATTACAAATCTCAACCTTATTCTGAATTACGAGCTTATAACATACTTACTGGTTTGTAAGTTCGTTTTATCAGACCTAATGATAGAATGTGACGAAGCAAACCATAAACGTAACGGGGAAAGAACCTACATACTACATAGATACTTTAAAATATTCGCCTCTATTCTATTCTTTTTAGGAAACGATACTACAGTGAAACGACGACATTCACGATAAGAAAACAGTGGTAAATATGTAAAGGAGAAGTTAGGTACACAGTCAAGTTACGAAACAATGGCAAGAGTTTCTTGCACAGTGCGACGAGTCATTGCACAAAACAACAACAAACGACAACAACAAGTAATAGACATGCGCTATTTCAGAAGTGGTTATTACTGCCGGCAGGGATTTATTATTGTAGAGAGCAGTAACTTCTATACCTCGTGACCTTTGTGTGGCTCTCCGCTCCAGATATCTCTCCAGTGGATGAGATGGTGCAAGTGGTTCTTGTAGTTGTGTTGTCTGTGGTGGTGGTCCCGCTTCTTCCGGGATTCGGTCGGCGAGGGCGGCGCGGTCAGGGACTCTCGTCGCCTCGTCACCGGGTTCACTACCACCGCCTGCAGCTGCGCCGACAGCAGACATTCCGTCTCTGGACCCTCGTCAGACGATATACTATCCGTGAGCAACCGAGCCGACCTCGACCCGCGAACACCTTTGCTAGAGCCACACTGAGAATCTTCCTTGTTCATTTTAAAACTGGTCACATATCACAAACTAAAGTAAAAACTATTTCACTAGAACGTGTTAAAGTGAAGTTAAGTATTCATAATATTTCGCAAACACTAAAGGCGGTGCAGGCGTCGGTGTAAGTAACGTGTGGCGTGGACGACGCCAGAGACAGACTGCGGCGCGGTGGCCGGCGACGAGCGCACGTGGGTGACGACGCAGCGACGTCAAAACAACGGCGCCGCAGAGACTCTTGACTCTTAAAGTTTGCAAATTTGTTCCTTATACTAAGGAATTTGACGACATTTCAAGTCTCTAGGGTCATTGTCATGGAGCTACTAAGACGTAGGTGAAGGAGTTCGGTTTTAAAAGATTAGAAAATAGTGCTGTTTTTAGACTTTGGAAAACAGGATGTATTTATATTATAACATCTGTGATAAGTAAATTATAGTGATTTGATTAAATTGTAGGTAAGGTAAGGTATTGTAAATTTCAATATACAAGTGAGTAATAATTGTAAATATTTTCAAGGTTTTAAGTTTAATAAACTTATTTAAGGATACACATAACATCACACCTTTTATCCCCGAAGGGGTAGGCAGAGGTGCACACAAAGTAACACCCGCTTTTCACTATTTATGTTATGAGTCCCATGTAATAGATTAAATAACATGTAATAGAATATTTAAGGATAAAAATTTATAAATAAAATTAATACAAGAATAGTAGAATATAATAATAAATTCAAGGAAAATGTAAGTAATGTACTCAAGTAATTGGAGTTCTTATTAGAATAGATTGTTCAACCTGAATAGGACTGTTGTAATATCAAAATAATATATTCAAAATATTTATATTTATGAAGAATAGAATAGAATAGACTTAGAACCCAGTTACTTGAACAATTTCCTACTTAATATAATATAAATGAATCAACAAATTGTTGTCTGTTATGGTGACTTCACATATACGATGATAATGGTGATAATTAAGGTATATTCGGATGAGATAGTGTTTATATTATTTTTCTTTTGTTTGTTTTCAATTTTGCATAGTATTTAGATTTACGGAAATATGCACAGTAGATTGATAGAATAAAAAAATACTATTTTCCACATTACTGTTTCTTACATGTTTCAGATTACAATTATTTTATACTTTTCTGTTTTGCAGACGCTGTTTCTTATAGAAAGCTATTGCGATAATAACTATTATCTAATAGTGTGAGCACGGAAAGAATACATTGAGGGAACTAAATAGAAAAGTGGGTGAAACTATAAGATATTACTGCTCCTAAAATAGCAGATATTTGCGTAACAGGACGGGTCCTTATACCGGGGTATAGGATTGTCTTCAATACATTGTATGAAAATAAAACTTAGGATATTTAAAAGGGCTTCTTTGGAAATATAATTATTAACATCTAGAATCGCCACTTACTTGTGATCAATAGAAGATTGGAAGATTGTGAACAGCAACCACTATATTTACATTATGTTGTAGCAATAAATTAGTTACTTAATTTATTAGTAGTCAAACACATTAGTTATCAAATAAATTACTCATTCTTTGTTTAGTCAAACAATATAAATTGTTGTAGTCAGTGCGAGCATATTTTTTTTTTAATCTTTGACATTTGAAACCTCATCATCATTTTTTAGAGTAACACTCCCAAAACAGTGTTATCGATATAGTGGCCTTGCATTATTTCGAAAATTGGACCTTGTTTGACAGATGAGGTCCAGAACTTTAGTGATTTTGGGTTCTGCTAAAAAGACATGGCGCCCGAACTTGGATTTTAATGAACTTGACAGCTGTAATGTGACATTTGTGTAATCCAAGTGTGAAGTGTCAAAGACATGTGTAATTGTCGGTATCGTGGTGGCTCGCTGGTTTATAAAACTAAAGATATAAATGATTCTTACCACTTTTCATGAACAACACAGTTTAATAATAATATAGCTATCTTTAGCTAAGCCATTAATAATGTCTCTGCCACAGAAAAAGTATTACAGACAACGTGCACATTCTAACCCAATCGCAGATCATTGTTTTGATTAGTAAGTATCATAAAATTGTGATTGGAAATGCATTCCCATTAAAAAGTTAATTTACAATTTGATGCTTATTACAGCCCACCTCACCCAGATGATTATGACTGGTCTGCTTTGTATCCTATGATAAACAATGATGAAAACAAGAATAAAAAAGTAGAATTTTTAGATGTTGGCTGTGGATATGGAGGTCTTTTAGGTGTGTATAAATTAAATTCATACGTTTATCTGCTTCTCTATATAAGCATGACCTGAAATTGAAATACTGTTTCTATTTACGGTGCTCTGGTTAGGTTTTACTGCACACTTTCTTTTCAATTTCAGTTACACTATCACCGATGTATCCTAAAAGCTTGATGTTAGGTTTAGAGATACGTGTAAAGGTATCTGATTATGTTAATGACAGAATTCAAGCACTGAGAGTACAACATACTGATCAATACCAAAATGTGGCTGTGCTACGAACAAATGCTATGAAATATTTGCCAAATTTCTTCCATAAAGGACAAGTAAGTACATATTATTGAAAAATGTATTCTATTGTCATCCAGTATAGATTCAAATTTATTTATTATCTATTTTATTACAGCTCAAAAAAATGTTCTTCCTTTATCCAGACCCACACTTCAAGAAGGCCAAACACAAGTGGAGAATAATCAATAAGTGGTTGCTGTCTGAATATGCTTATGTGTTAGCTGAACAGGTAATGTGTTATAATGAATAGTTCATTTTATTTAAGAAATTAGAATAATTGTCTGTCACTAAAACTTGACAAAGAGTTGGACACACAAATACTACTGAGCAATGGGTCTCGGGTTAAAGCAGTACATGTACAGTACATCATTGCTATTTGGACATAGCAATACTTATATGCGATTCATGTTAATGTACACTAGCTATTTCCGTGCTGTTTCGCCCGCACTGTTCAGATCACCTGATGGTAAGCAATCAGCCTCGCTCATGGACACCTGGAACACCAGAGGCGTTACAAGTGTGTTACCAGCCTTTTGGCGATTAGGAATTAAATACTATTAATGACATTTTTTTATTCACAGGGTATTGTTTACACTATTACGGATGTAAAAGATTTAAATGAATGGATGGTATTTCATTTTGAAGAACATCCATTATTTGAAAGGATACCAGATGAAGAACTGGTAAGATTTTTTAATCATTCCCTATATGAAAATGTTAATTTTATAGTGCCTTGATGACAAGATGACCGATGTCTCAAGTTTTCTTTATTTTGCGAATAAAAAATATCTGTTTGCTCAAACATTACTTTCAGTTTATTTAAAAGTTTTCATCATTGTTTCTTAAAGATTTTTTTATTTCAGAAATCAGACCCAATAGTGGAGAAATTATATGAAAGTACAGAAGAAGGCAAAAAAGTGACAAGGAATAATGGTGACAAATTCATTGCAGTGTTCAGGAGGATTCCTGATAAAGTATGAAGTGTAAAATTCACTGATTGAATTATATAATCACTTTATTTTATTATACTTATTAATTACATAATAAATTGATACAAAAAGAAATATATTTCACTGTATTAATATTAATGTTATACACAGTTTCAAAAGCTTAGCTTAGATCAAACAGTAATATTATGGTTAATTAAATAATTACAAGATCTATATTAGTTACAAACTTGGAAATATTTAATGGTTGCTTATCATTTTTTCAACTACAAGTATTGCAAGGAGACCTATTTGTAAGGTCATAATATTTTATTAAGCATAATACCGATTTAGAAAACTACAAAGTTTTGCCCAGTTTTTTTTCCATAAGGTTTACCCATCTACCAAGAGGTCGAGACATATTCAAATACTTGCGCATATAACCTGATGCACCCAAAAGCCAAGTTTTATTTTCCATCCATATATTGTGGGACAAAAGTGAGAACAATAGAGCTGCCCATATTTCTGGTTGGTTAGGGTACTTGTGAAGACCTTCTTTTGCTAATAACATGGCCTTAACACGATCACCAGCTATGTGTTCTGCAATACTGGCGGAGGCAAGAATTTTTCCGAATTCGCAATCATATTCACCATAATGGGCAGAACATAAAGCTTTCTGTGCACAGCTGCTAGCAACTTTTGCCATTGTATCAGCAGATCTAAGACAATACTGAGCCATACAAAACCATAGAAGCGCATTACTGGGATGGTCGTGAAGACAGTCGCTCAACAGCTTAATGGCCTGATCCATGTTATTTTCACAGACAGAAAGATAGGATTTCAAAAATCCTATATCAAAGCCATATTCACTTTCCATTTCATATTTACGTAATTCACCCAAAGCTAACTTTGACAAACTTTGGTCTGAATGAATTAAGCCCAAAGAGCATATTGCAAATAAACTGTGTGCTGTTGGTTTTTTCTGTGCTATTTGTATACTATGGAATAAGAGCGTCTTGGCGTCATCAGCGCCCTTATACATGTACACAATACCAGCCATGGCTACCAAAAGATCGGCCTTCTCAGCGTCTTCGTTACTCAGCCAGTGTAGAGCTGTATCATAAACCGAGTAAGACTCCTCATATAACCCCTTTTTATACAGCGCTAAGGCTAACCCAGTTGTAGAGTCAAAACTGGCTTCTGTTATTGCTTTAAATATTTTTATTGCCTCATCATATCTTTCCATCCTAACAAAAATTCTTCCTATATTTAAAAGTATCTTGTTCTTGTTTTCGTCTTCTGCATATTTAAATGCCTTTTCATAAGATTGAATAGCAGAACGAAGCAACCCAAATCTCTCTTGTAAAATACCCAATATGTTATAAGCACATGCATCTGTAGGTTGGAAGTTGCAATACCATTCCACCAAGTCAATGGCATATGGTATTGCAAAAAGACCTTCTATTTCATATTTCGATTCAGAGTTCTCTTTGTATTTGTTATTTTTCAAAGTTCTACACACCCAGTCTGCATACCCAAGTGCGCTCTCTGGGTGATATCCTAAACGAGAAGCATGTCTGAATAAATCCATAGCTTCTTCTTCACGAATTGCTTCTGCAATTAATCCTTGGCCAATCCAGCTATGCGGGTGAGATGGTAATGCAGACTGTCCTCGAGAAAAACAATAGTTTGACAACTTATAAAGCTTTAGTTTCAAATACAGTGTTCCTAAATTACACCATATTTTTGCAACTGACCATTTCCTAGTTACCGAGAGGGCTTTAATGAAGCAGTGTTGAGCAATTTCGTACTTTTTGATAGCTAAGCATATTTTTCCGAGTAAATTCCAGTTGCGCCAAACAGTAGGCCCCTCTTTTATACAGTTTAAAGTTAAGTTAAAAGCTATATGGCAGTTTACGACTTTTTTAGTTTCATGGTAGAAGCTCAAGTAGGCTAATGCCAGATCATATGATGATACTTGCTGCTTTTGCTTAGCAATATGAGAGTAGCAAGCAATTGCTTGGGGAAATATTTCTAGTTTAATTTTCTTTGTAATTTCGAAATTTTCTCCGCCTTCCTTCGATAGCTGAGGCATGTAGACAAATGAATATTTATCAGGCAATTTAGTAATAAACATCAAATTGTCTGCTAGCAATTTCCAAAAGCACAAGTATTGATTTTGCTTAGATAATGCTTTAGTGATGTAGTCAATTGCATACTGTGCACAGTCTCTGGCACTGCCATACATGTTTGCTTCAATTTTCTTCTTAGCTACTCTCATCCATGTTTCAGAAATTCCCTTGAGAGCCAAGAAAGAGTAGGGTTCAATAATGAATACTTTTTCAAATGTTGATATGGCTTCCTGATATTGTGTGAGTAAAGAATATATGTGGCCAATTCTTGTTAGACAGTGTGCCGATTTACTTGGATCCAAAGTCATTACTTTGTTGTAAGCCCTCAGTGCAGATGTGTAAGATCCTCGAGAGTAATATGCATCAGCAAGGCACTCAAAAGCAGTTGTATCACTTTGGTTATTTTTAATTACATTTCTGAAATTTAAAATTGCGTTTTCCCATTCTCTCTTGTTTAAATAATGCAGACCTAATCTGAAATTCACCCAAGACTCTGTAGTGGAAATATTCTTTGCTAAGCCATTCAACAGTTCAAAATCTGCATCCTTTTGCTGTAGTTTAACATAAATTTCACTGAGACTTTTAGCAATATTCATACTTATAGCATTTAGACTATGAGCTTTTTCGTAACATTTCTTAGCCTTCTGTAAGTCAGATTTATGGTGATAGTAGTAGTGACCTAAGTATAAAAATGTATCAGCATGGTCAGGATTTAGTTTTGCTGCTTTTAGTAGACTCATCAAACATTTATCATATTGTTTCATTTCCCAATATGCTTTACCCAAATAATATACCTCAATTGAATTTTCTGATTCTTTCAATAGTTTTATCACTTCATCATATTTATTTTGTTTTTGGAGTAAAAGAGCCTGTAATTGTTTGTAATAATCAGTTGTTTCTAAATGCTTTAGAACATGATCAACTGGTTCATTAGCTTCAATGTAACATTCAGCAAGACTGGCCAACTCTAATGGTTCCATAGAGTCAATAGCTATATCTTTGGCAATATTTATTGATTGCTTCCATTTTTGTTGTTTTGTTAAAGATAAAAATAGGAATCTTTTAAGAACAACTGCAAAATGCTGATCTTTAACTTTGGTCATAAAGTTGGTTGCAAGTTTCTGAGTGACAGACCATTTTTTTAGCATGATTGTACATTTTATTATAAAAGTGGCTTCAGTGACATCAGCTTCTTGATAATTTACAAGTGGAACACATTGTTTGTAGGCTTCTAGGTATAAACCTTTGTCGAAGCATATCATACTCCTGAGAAGACTTGGATATTTGGAGTTCATAATGCCTTCACTGATTGTATCTATGTGTTGTTCAATGTTTAATTCACTGAATGACATTTTCTCCACATACTTAATGCACAGTTGTTTGCAGAGCCATTCTCTTAGCAGTACATTGGAAGGGAAGAACTTCAAACTAATTATTTCTTCAACAGCAGAAGCTAAGTTAGGTTTCTGAATGATTAGTTTGCATTGTAAAATTTCTAGAGAATCTCTAGGATCGTCTTTGTATAATTTCTGCAAGACATTAAGGATAAGTGGGATAGCATCTTCCTCACTAGGAATATCAGCCTTCAACAGATCTATGAACTGTTTTTCAGCAGTATGAAACAAAGTATTTGGAAGATCTTTTGTTAAGTATGTAGCCAACATTTTCAGAGACTCTTTGCTTTTTAGGGCACAACCCAGTTGACCCAGTTTGGTAATTATTTCTGTGGTTTTATCTTCTTCCATTGGCAAATTTAACATTTCATTGTAAACAGTAATTAATTTGATTTTGTTTGATTCATTTTCTATCCTTTCATAGTAATTGGCAAGGCCTTGCCACGCAAGAGGATGGTCTGGTTTGCTTGCAATAGCCTTTTGGTAGGCTAGAGGGGCCTGGTCAGAATCTTGAAGTGATTTTCCAAGTAATACTAGACCAAAATAATTTTGTTTATCCTTTCTCAAAATATTTTTGCAACATTCTTGAGCTTCCTTGAAGTTTTTTTCATCGATCAGTTTTCTTGCATCTTTAAGTAAAGCTTTAATGTCTGCCATCTGAAATTGATTTTATATATATTTTAAATAACAATTACAATTTTTTATACTTGATAGGTCAGGGATTGGTGTCTATCTTGCTTGGTGGTAAGATTGATAAATGCAAGACAATTAATTTATTATTATATACAAGTAATAATTGATAACAGATTTGCTGGTTCGAGATTACAAACATAACATTACATCACGCCTTTTATCCTCATGATTACAAATATTATTAATAATAAGTTTACACACATACACGAAGAATCACTACGAATTACAAGGTAAGTCTTAGTAGTCTAATAGCAATACCAGAATGTTTAACACCGGTGTACAATAATGTTTTGGTTAGATCTACTATAAATAAAATTCACAACCATGCTAAGTAAGCGACATACCGTATTTATTCCGGAGCCGGAGTATTAACAGAATACACATCTAAAATACTTCAAAACAAATGTAATAGACCTTCTATTGGACTATACTGGTATATTATTTTACCGAAGAAAAACAAAAATCTGGATCTGAAAACTCCTATCGGTCTCAGAAATTGAAAAGCTGTTTAGCTGTCATTACTGTCATTGTCATATATGAACGTAAACATCAAATTGTCAACTGTCACTTAAACCGGATATTGTTTTTCTCTAATACTGTTTGAGTTTAGTAGAGCAGTGCTTCAATATCAATAATCGACTAAAATATTAGCGTAGTGCGAGCCGAGCTAGATCGCATTTTATTGGATTCTCAACATTGATGAATTATGTTTTTTTTAAGGGGAGAAAATCATCGAATGACTTTTCCCGCCTGGATGAGGCGGGAGGGAGTGTCAGACTCTTACTGACTAAAAACCACCCTGTTCCTACTCCTGCCCTTCGAGCTGGAGCTCCGGCAACTCGTTAAGTCCTCCGCGGCTCCGTAATGAATTCTGAGTACTAACATTAAAATTATTATAAAATTATCAATGTTTTTTGAATAATTTCTAACCTGCTTGGGTTTTTTTCCTCTTTGTGTTTGGGTTGAAAGGAATGTTGTTTACCGCTGTTGTCATTGTCAGTGTCAAATTTGAAATCTAACAACTCAAAAGTTGTAAACAAAATAATGCATGTTTTATTTTTTAGTTTATTCTATTAATAAAAATAATTTAAATTATGGCTAACGCTGAAATGCTAACTATGTACATCAAAAAACTAAGTAAGTTAGAAAATTCATGAAATATTCGCTTCAGAACTTGGTAATTTATCGTAACGTTCTCATGAAATGTTTTAGGTCATCCACTGAAGGAAATTCGTGAAAGATCTCTGTTATTGTTGTTAGCAAAATTGAAATTAGGTTGGGAGTTAGAGGATGAGTTGTCGGGTACGAGAGAATTGCTAGAAGGTATTTTGGCATGGTTCCAGACACCGCAACAGTCTTTACAAAGTGAAGCGTTGGAATTACTACTTACAACTATCAAGGTAAAAGGTTTATCCATACTTAGGTCCCTTATTAAATGTTATTGTTCTTCTGTCTCTCTTTACTTTGTCATCTCTTTTGTGTTTAACTAAATCTTTCTATAAACACTATCATAATAATGTCAATTTATATATTTGTATTTTGTGGATTGTTTTTCAGACAAAGGCTGGCACCTACATTGCTAGAGAGTTTGGAATAGATAGTATATTAAATAATTTGAACAAAGTGCATCATAGGATTGCCAGTGATGCTCTAGAATTATATGATGATGTAATTGAAACCCTGAGATTTCTTAATACTGTTGAATCTGATGTTAACGTGGATATCCCTCGGTTGACTCTGCCTGATATTACAAGGTAAAATTAACCTGTTGAAATATCATCCTCTAAATTTGTTCATACAAAAGTATCAGAAATAAGGTCTATAATGTAGTTAGTGGAGAGCAGTCACCGGTGACCGCTTGCAGATAAATGGGTTGAGAAGTGTATTACTATCTATTGTGAGATTTTTCTAACCGGGATGGTTCCGGCCTTTTCTTCTCCGAGCAAGCTTCACTTCTCTATTTGCAATTGTTACGGTCACATTTTTTGTTAGGATACATTTCTGAAAAAAGGTTTTCCTCTCAAATAGTGTCCATGTTCATAAATTTATGTATTACTTAAGACTTTGACTGCCAATAAAATTGAAGGCAAATCCTCCGCTAACACCGGTCACCGGTGACCCCCATGGCGTTTAACGTGTTAACTCGATAAAAGTAATTTTATTTCTTCTAAAAAAAATTGTGTTTTCAGTTCTGAAAGTGATGGGGCGTCAAGCAGCGGTTATTACAATTTGGAGCCTAATATTCACTCATCTAAGGCTACATCCGAGTCCAATGATGACTCTGATATCAATAGATACAGGAGGTGAGTACATCACAAAATACAGGTATACTTATCAATGAGATGAGATGACAGAAAGTTTTACAAGACGCCGGAACTTTATCCAGCTTTTTTATTTCTACCCAATAATATTTTACATACTAGTTACTTTCACAGGGGTTACACCCGCTCTGCTAGGCTCCTATTGGTTGTAGCATGATGTTTTCTAGCCTATAGCGCCTTCATCGATAAATGGACTATCCAACAGAAAGAAAATTGTTTAAATTGGACCATTATTTTTTATATTTAATGGGCTGACGTTTGATCTCTAGTTCCTGAAATAGTACAAGATTTTCCCATTCTCCTCTTCTCTAAATAAAGTGACAATCGAGTAAAGCAATTATACTTTTGTCCAGAAATTGTATATGGTTTACGTTCTCAAAGAGGCACTTTACATAAGTACCTTATTGTCTTCTATTTATTTCCATCTTTTGTCTATTTCAGCTTGAACACCACGGAGTGTGTGAGAGTACTACTGTTCCCATGGGTAGAGTTGTGCCAATCTGACAAGAAAACTTTGTTATTAGTAGAAGATGCCCTAAGACTATTGAAGTCTACAAGACGGTGCTGCAGATTCATTCGCGATGTTTTCCTGCGCGATTTCTATGCTGAAATATTTTTGAATAGACCTGAGATCATAAAGGTATGTTTATTTTTGGTATTTATGTAAAGTTTGTACAGTTTGCATTTAAGCGTGTGAGAACCATGCTTCTGCACGTGTGAGCAGGCTCGACCGGATTGATACCACGGCCTCACAGAAAACCGACGTGAAACAACACTCGCATTGTTTAATTGTGTGAGTGAGGTTACCGAAGGCTCAATTACCCTCCTCCTCAATCTCCCCAATCTCCGAATTCCCAATAACATGATGTTTTAAGAACTAATTTAAACATGTATAACATGAAACTTGATGGGTTAATAAAACATCAAAGAAAAACCGCATTACGACTAAAGAAAACTAGGTACTTAATGTTTGTGATAATTTAACCTTCACGCTATAAATATTTTTCCAGAGTTTATTGACAATATCAGATGGTAACCACGGCGGGCGCCCTGGCGAAGCTCTTTGTGTCTTGCTGTATATAACAAAAGCTCTGCGCGCACGACTGTTACAGTTATCTTCTTTGGACTTGATACATGAAACTAACAAGGTAAGTTTATAATTTTAAACTCCTGTTTTTTTTTCATAAACACTTTATGCAAGCATATAAATACGTAAGTAACTATTATTTTTATGGCATATGCCATACAAATGAGCATATAAATGAGCAGACGGATCACCTAATGGTAAGTAATCGGCGTCGCGCATCGACATCTGTAACACCAAGGCGTTACAATTGCGTTAGCGGCCTTTTGGGAATTAGGAATTTGAGGATTGTGGAGGGTTCGGGGATTCGGGAGACTGGGGCCCGGGGTAATTGGCCTCCGGTTACCTCACTCACACAACGAAACACAACGCAAACGTTGTTTCACGTCGGTTTTCTGTGAGGCCGTGGTATCACTCCGGTCGAGGCGGCCCATTTGTGCCGAAGCATGGCTCTCCTACACTTAGCACTATGTGCATAGAAAATGGATGATTTTCTAAATGCTTGCGAGGTGTTTCTAAGCACCACTGGTTGCTGACAACATCTGGATGTAGACACACCTTTGCATTGTATATTTTATGTAACGGTGCTGAACTCTGAAGTACATGTCTGCTCCTTCTTTAGAATTTAAATAACAAGGCCCAATGGCCAATAGTTTTATGTTATGTTTCCTTCTCCAGGTTTCAGAAGAACATAGAGATATGATAGACGATGATGTGAATCTAGAATTACAAGAAATAGCCGGTGAGTCACATCTTCGCACGCCGGCTGAAGAAGATGGTCTTGTAGTACTGAGACAACTGCCTGCACCCTTGTATGCTCTGGATACGCTACATGCAGTGCTCACTATAATGGCTAGAAGCGTCGTGTTGGCTGACCCAGTTGATAAAACCGAGTTTTTGAATGTTGTGAGTATAATAGAAAATGCTAATGCGTTAGTGGACATAGGCGATATGCCTATGAGTGTCTTATGATATGATATCTGCTAACAATAAGTATGTTGTGAAACCTTTATGATGTGGTAGTACATTCTGTTTATGTTGTACACAAAACTGCGACAGGAATTTTGAAAAACGATTTCAAATGGAACATGGTATGGAACATTTGTTCTAAAGTTTCGTCGTGTGAGTTAGGTTATCGGAGGCCAAATTACCCTCCCTTTCCCCAATCACCCCAATCCTTGAATCCCCAACGATCCTCAAACTCCTAATCCCCAAATGGCCGGTAACGCACTTGTCACGCCTCTGGTGTTCCAGGTGTCCATGGGCGAGGCCGATTGCTTTCCATCAGGTGATCCGTCTGCTTGTTTATCGGCTTATACCATAAAAAAAGCGATCCGCAAATACAAGATTGGAACATTAACGATTATTGGAACTTATTGTTAAAATCCTCGTGTGGCTTATGATTTTTCCTTGCAACGACTTTGTGTTATCCTTGAGCTGATTAATACTTAAACAAACTAAAAATAATGGTTTTTTTATTTTAGAGAGAATTGAACACATGCCTCTGCCTAATAGAGAGTCTGGTCGAGTTGTTACTCGACTGTATTAACGACAGCTTCTGGAGTATGGACCATAATGCCAAGACTTACAGGGACATTTCACATAAAAGTTGCATGGTTATGCGCCTGATGGGAGACCTATTGAACAAATACAGGTGATTTTACTTCTGATAATGTAAAATGTATAGAGAAACTTTTTAAAAATATTGTAAAATTAAACAATATTCACTTAGACAAGAGTTTTTGATTTAGCAGCTAATTAGTTATACTGCTAAGATTATCAATTTTATTTCAGAAAATCATTCTTCGATGATCTCGACCGTAGTCATCATCGCGTAGCGTGGTTACGTCTGACGTTTTGCGCAGAAAAACTCTTGCACTGGGCGCGAGACTCCGCCCTGCCACCGACTTCGCTTGTCAATGCATTACAAATAGCTCAGCTCGATCCAGGCGTAGAACTGTTTTACCCAACGTTAAGTAAAAAGATTGAATTGGTTTTACAGGTATGTATGGTAAAATAAAGTATTGTAAAAATCATTTATTTTATTTAATTTTCAGCCGAGATCGTCCTACTGCAGGGCAAATTAGATGCGCAAAAATTTCAAAATGCTTGCGCAAAAGCAACTATTGTTTGTTTTATTTTTGTACTTTCACAGAGTATTTTATTTCCAGAGTACTAGAATAACTGTTAACCAAGAATATAAAAGCAAATATAAGGAACTGAAGAAATTATTCTCAAGCATGGATGGGGCTGCTCAGTTTATGAACAATAAGAAATTGCATAAATCAAAGAAAGTGCTCACGTGCATAAAGAGCTGTATCCCTATTTTAGAGCTCTTTCAAAGTGAACATCTTTTAGCTGATATGTCGGATATTTTGGTGAAACAGGCGAAAGATTTGGACTTTAATGATAGTGACTGGTCTGTCGCTCGAAGTATTGCCTTGTCTTTGATGGGTCACAATGTGGATTGGGTGCAAATTACATTTTACAAGTCTTTGGCTGAGATGGTGAAGTCTGTGTTGGTGGGAGATGAGAATGAGAAGAGTCTGACGTTACTGTGTGATGTTGGTATACTGACAGAGATATGCTGTCATGGACTCTCTTCTAAATGTAAAGAGGTGAGTAGAATAACTTTAAAAACTTGCGTTGCGCAAAATACTTTATACTCTTTGCGCAATTATTTTGTCGCTTGTATAATTTTGCACAATTGAACATAACATCACGCCTTTTACCCCGGTAGGGGTAGGCAGAGGCGTACATTACGGCACTTAATGCCATTGCCACAACACCTACTTTTCACTATTTATATTATGAATCCCATGTGATAGGGGGTGAGCCTATTGCCATATACCGGGTACGATTCCAGACTCCGTGTTACTAATGAGATTTGTTTTTTTAAAACTCAGTAATACTTTGCCCGACTGGGGAATCGAAACCGAGACCCCTTTCCCGGCAGTTGCACTTGCGACCACTCAGACAACGAGGCAGTCAGTCAGCGCAATCAAACTTTTATAATATTTGCAGGTAGAAGGAAGTTCTTCAGAGATAATGTTGTATTTATTACGTGGACGGCTGGTCCTCAGTGAAGGATGCTGGTGGCGACTGCTGGCCAGTTTACTGCCAGTACTACCGCTGTTACATGTTTATGCTGCTCATGAAACACAATTAGGTAAAATATACTCCATATTGTTATTTTATACATAATGTGATAATATACCTCTTTTGTTTAGTATCCTTTTTTGTATGGATGGAAATTTGCATATAATCATTCTTCCCACCCTGGGTGTCGCGAGAACTCAGTCTTACTGACTTAAACCCCGTTCCATCTACTGCTTCATGCAGGGTCTACGGTATATGGTGACTATAATCCCGCCAGGCTTACTTTGGTTGGAATCCTGAAACCAATATTTTAGAACATTAATGTATTAAAACTTTTCTATGTTATAGGGAAAGCAATCTGTAAATCGCTAGAACGCGACATAGCAGATTGTTTGGGCGTGTCAGCTTCCGAGGTGATGGCCGGCTTGGTTCGTCTTCTATTTGTACGATGCGTTGCAGTACAACTTGATGCAGCTCACACTCTATGCCGATTATTAGGCAAGTACATGATATTTGCGAAAATACGCCCTATAAGAATGTATTAAAGATCATATTCCATTGAAGGAAACAATAATGTTTAGATTTGCGAGAATGTGTCCTATGTGCATGTAATAAAGATGATATTTAAATGAGTGTATCGTTGATGTTTTTAGATGACGAGCGTTATTTGCCTCCTAAGGAGTCGTTGCGAGCTGATGTTTTATTAAGCGCATTACGGAGAGTTAAACGGCAAGAGTTTAATATAGACTATGAAAGTTCACCGACTAAAGTGCCACAGGTAAGTTAAATATTTGATTAAATGACTGTTCTGAAAATACACTGAGTAGGTATATTACAACTTTCGTGAGACATACTAAATTAATTATTATGTTTTCGGCGTACTCACGTAACTATTTGACGAGGAATTCGACTAGTTTCAAGCCATGCTAGAGGCTCACAATCATGAGCAGCATTCCGCGACCCGAAACGCGGCGAATGTCGCGCTTCTTCTGTAGTAGTTACGTGAGTAAACCGAAAACATAATAATTAATACACTGAGTAATATTTATGGTATAGGTACTCATGTATTTTGTAGTTTCGGGAAGAGCCCGTCTAATGTCAAGTTACTCCGAGCCCTTAATCATAAACTCCGTTACCAACTATCTGGTCGGGAAATCACCGACAGAACAACGTACGCGAGTTACCTGTAATAACATTTATTTGTTCAAACTTGTGTATTATTTTCTACGAATACTTTATGTGTAGGCAAATAATTGAACAATATTTCTGATTAAATCTTACTATAATACTATGAATGCGAAAGTTTGTAAATACATACATAACTTTACGCCTGTCTCCCATGGGGGTAGGCAGAAACTATGGAACGCCACTACTACGATTCCTACATACCTCTTTCGCTTCATTAACCCCTCTCGCGTCCTTATGAGCACCCGGTGGATCATAAGAAAAAATGCTCCAGATGTCCCGCGTGCACCCGTTGGATCATAAGGCACGCGGACGCTCGACCTGTTAACAGTCATCAATCTTTTTATGCATGCTCGTCAGTTAAGGGTACTTTTAATTTGGCCCTTCTTTAATATATCGCCAATCTGGACAGTATATGTCCGTCTAGGGCGCCCTCTACGGACGGCCCCATTCATATCCGCTCTGTATACTCGCGAAAGTTTATTCGTAATTTTATTACTCAATGACTTCAAATACCCCTATTTAACGCCGGGATGAAGTCTGAAACAGGCATAGCATATGTTCTATAACATAATAACTCATAGTCTACTTTTTATAATCTAGTTTCAGAAGCTAGTAAATTATATTGCGTGCTGGCTTCTAGTAGATTGCTTATATATGTCGGAATACATTGACTTATTTTATTGTACACTGAACGAATTCAGAAGAGCCTGTTACTATACCTGTACCCATCTGTGACTTGGCCTAAGGAATATGTTTGTTACCATAGTTATAAATGTTGTAGTACCAAATTGTAAAATTAGACTTTGTAATTTAATTTTATTAATATTGGCATACACTATTGCATTAGGTATTAGTTCCTGTTAGGATAGTAGTATGTATATAGTTTATAAATAAATAAATAAATATTTTTAAATACATAATTATATTATTCTCTTTTTTAGACAACAGGGTTGACCCAAATCCTGGACGTGTTAAAACAAGACGTAGTACTCGATGACGAAGGACACTACATATCTCGTAACACGATGCAACCTGCCCTCGAGCCCTCGTTGCGACGTAGCACGTTGCAGCAACTCGCTGTTATAGTGCGACAGCAGAATTTACATGATGTGTTCTTGCAATATGACGGTGTTAATATTATTGTGGCTACGTTGAGGTAAGTGTTACACTGTTATACTGTGTATATATGTTTATACTAGCTTTTACCCGCGGCTCCGCTCGCGTTACAAAAGGATAAATATAGCCTATGTGACATATACCAAAACACACAGCGCCATCAATATCAATATTTTTGTTTTCCTTCGGGAATATAAATTTTTTCCGGGTTAAAAAGTACCCTATAATTTAATCCGGACTTCAAAATTTACGTCTGCAAAAATTCAAAGCAATCGGTGTAGTAGTTACGACGTGAAAGTGGAACAAACAAACAAACAAACAAACTCCTTTCCCATTTATAATTTTAGTAAGGATATTTTTTAAACGTTGCCCCACGCTAAGATTTTCTCCTGTGTTGTGGATTCGTTTACAAACATAGAATTTCACATACACAAGACACCCAGACCCGGAACAACAATTTTTGGATCACACAAAGCGTTGCTCCGTGCGGCAATCAAACCCGATACACGTTGCGCGGCAGCCGGTTGCCAGTCACCGCGCAAACCGTGCAATCCATTGCATATTGTGTATGTACTGTTTTGAAGATTGTGACTGTATGCCACCTATGGTTATGTAATATCATGCCTGCCGTAACGTAAGGAAGAAATGAACATATTTAATGTTAAACTTATCTTTCAAGTTTTCATCAGCAATGTAATTGAACTTCTATGTAAAAGGGGTGAAGTTACATACATTACATACATAACATCACGCCTTTTATCCCCGAAGGGGTAGGCAGAGGTGCACATTATACCACTGTACAATGTAACACCCACTTTTCACTATTTATGATATGAGTCCCATGTAATAGGGGTGAGCCTATTGCCATATACCGGGCACAATTCCAGACTCCGTGCTACTACTGAGATTTTTTTTTATAAAACCCAGTAATACATTGCCCGACCCGGGAATCGAACCCGAGACCCCTTGCCCGGCAGTCGCACTTGCGACCACTCGGCCAACGAGGCAGTAATTTTAAAAATAAAAAAGCTAATAATAAAAGTATACTCAACTCGAAAATCAAATGGTATACCTAACCCTTGACCAACGATATAGTTCCATAACGATATTCTATTGGCTAAAAATATTTGAAAAAGTTTTCACTGCACTATCCACTTCCATAGCATCCTTATCTAAAAATATTGTAATCCACAATGTATCTGCAACTCTTCTTTGTATTGTTTTATCAATCGTATGATCATACGAGCTTAACTTCAATACTGACGCATATTGAGATAATAATATTCTCAAAATGTTATACCTAAATTTTATCTTAATCTTTATATTTCAGAATGTCACTGATGGTGGACGATTATCTAGCATTTCCGGAGTGTGCAATCAGTTGCGTGTCTATACTTAACAGCGTATGTTTTGCTAGTAGACACAACTTGGCTAAGATACCGGATTTACCTGCACTTTTACTCAGAGGTAACTTTGAATAACGATATTACAGACACATTACCTTCTATAAGTCTCTTCGACATCAGAGCGTATTCGTTTTTAAAAGGCCGGCAACGCACGTCTGACTCATTTGGTGTTGCGGGCGTCCATGGGCGGCGCTGATCGCTTACCATCAGGTGATCCGTCTGCTTGTTTGTCTCCTATTCCATAAAAAAATAAGACCCTGGTTTGCCATAATATGCCTGCTTAGCAAATGGTGTTCTAGTAGCAGTTTAACCCGTCGAGCGTCCGGGTTCCTTATGCATTTCCTTATCCTTATGCATGCAAGAAAATGCATTTATTTGGCCATTGGCACACTAAAATAAGGATCATTACAATAGAAATAAAACAAATACAGTCAAAATAAAATCAAAACATTAATTATATTTTATAAAAGAGAAAGCAGCATGGAGCGTTTTTTCTTATGATTCACTGGGTGCTCATAAGGACGCTCGAGGGGTTAAAAAGTTGAGGTTTATACAAGAGTGCTACTGCCTGTTCTGTGTAGCATTTGTCATTGCACATTGCAAATGTCGCATTAATGACTAACGTTTTTTTTTATATAGGTAATCAGAATATGAGGAAGGAAAAACAATATCCTTAAAATGCCAAACGTAATTTTTTCATTTTACACATGCGATGAGTATACTCAAATAACACAATCAAATATTTATTTTCGGGTTTACCCATCTTACACAAGTGGGAAATTCGTTAGCTTAATGCGGTTTTGGAATTGCATATGATAAATAATAAAGTAAACAATATTTTCAATGAGGCGGTAAATATTTAAAAATCATATTTGGAAAGCTAAGCTACCTAGTACCTAGTTACCTACATCCATCACCTCCACGACCTTTATCACGTCATCTATTAGATTTTAGATTAATGCCCAAATACTAAGTTAAATTTAAGTGTGGGAGAGCCATGCTTCGGCACGAATGGGACGGCTCGACCGGAATGATACCACGGCCTCACTGAAAACCGACGTGAAGCAAAGCTTGCGTTGTGTTTCGTGTGAGTGAGGTTACCGGAGGCCCAATTACCCCCCCCCCCCCCCTCTTCCTTAATCCCCGAATCCCCAACAATCCTTAAACTCTTAATCCCCAAAAGGCCGGTAACGCACTTGTAACGCCTCTGGTGCTCCAGGTGTCAATGGGTGACGCCGATGGCTTACCATCAGGTGATCCGTCTGCTCGTGCTACTTAATTTTAAGTTGTACTTTTATTTCGTGCCATCTCTGTCATTTTACAAAGAGTTTGTAGCGACAGAACTATACTTAAGTGCCAATTAAAATAGAGTGGCGTTTGAGTATTTGTACATTAGCTAATCATACTTTAAAGCTTATTTTATATTTCAGCGATCCTAGTGTTCCCTGCAAATGATTCATCTGTGCTCATGGCTGCCCAAGTCCTGGCGATTATAGCGTGGGCAGGCTTTAGTCTGCAGGAGTTGGATGCATCAAGACACCGCATACCAGCATTACCACTTAATGTAACTCAAAAGACCTCGCTACCATTTGAAGCTAACAGTTATTGGAATACCAGCCCTAATGCAGAACATTCTAGTGTTGGTAAGTATGTAATTGTTGGTGTAAATTGTTAATAGTAGCGTAAAGTCTAGTTTTGAATGCAGTAGGCCCCTTTTATGTTCATATCTTTCACTGTCTGGCTGTTAGATATAAGTTGAATAAGGTAGTTTACTACATTTTATTTTAATGACCGTCTGGTACATTAATTTAAAACATTAGACACGTATTTTTTCTTTTCTTACAAAATTAAATACTTTCGACGATATATTAATTTGAAATATCGTGGGACGTTACAGCGTGCACCATTTTGTAGCACGTTATGACGTAACAACCTCCCACTCCTAAACTTAGCGCCATTTTATCTAAGTATTACAACTTAATACGAGAAAATAAAAAAATACGTGTCTAATATTTTTTCATTACCTAACTGACGGACTGATTAGATTTTTAATTTTGATACCCTGGAAACTAACCAATTGTGTATTTTTCGGCATTGCATTCATAATGATGGAAACTTGCAGAGAAACTAACCCTCCTCTCTTCCTTCGAAGTTATTTTATCAGGGAGTAGGTTATACAGGCTGTAATTTATTCTATCGTCGTCGTAAAGTGTCGGTGCCTAACTTGGTTCCAAATTCAGATGAAATTCACTGGCATAGCGACACTAAGTGATAGGTATGTTTATCGACAAAGCTCCTGATTTTTTTTTCAATCTGTTGTTGCAAATCGGTGAAAACAGTATTCATGATCCGGTTCTACATATTTTAGCAAACAAATATTGTAATCGATGCACACTTTCTCTCATGAAATTTAATTTATTTTGACAACTTGATTGATATCAATATTCGATCACCTCGACACTTGAAACTTTTGTGGAATATTTTAATATATTTCGAGAACATTGTTCTAAATCATTATGCGTTTCACGTGGCCCAAGTTCGAAGCCCGCTCAAAGAATCTCAAGGACTGATAGGATTCCATTTTCTATACATAGTTTGCTGGTGTAACTACATAAGTTCTTGTTGGATTTCTAATTAGGATATTGTGACGTATGTACATACAAACTGACGTCCTCTACAGACAAATTATTGCGTTGAATTTAAATTACATGATAATTTGTTCGTTTCAACTCTATTGCTATTGCTGAGTACCACATCTTGTGTCGATAAACAAAGTTGTTGTACTAGGATTATATTATTAGACTAGGTTAGAGTTTCTTTGTATTATTTTAACACGATAATAACATATGTTTATAATAACTACGGGATGGATACAATTTGTACGTAACAAGGAAAGCGTGGGGCGTGTCATTATGATTGTGCATAAAAGATATCTTTACGTGTGAACTACACCAGTCATAATATTGCATTATAATTTGTAATCATAATTAATAAAACAATTTTTCCTACAGTGTTATCCGTTTTTATTATCGCCAATGACGACAATGTGCGGTTTAAAGACTAAAATGCACGTGGGGTCTGCATTATCATATTTTATTTTAAGATCGATTATATTCATGTCATCATTGACTGTTGAGTCACTATGTCGAATCACTTATAATATCGTCGAATATTCCTTACTTATGTTCGTTCGTAATGAACGAAATTATGGGTAAGTGAGCATGATTGGTCATAACCAAACGTAGGGCTAAGTTTTACAAAAAATTCGCCCATACCATTATTTTTATACTTACCTTATAGACCTTCTTGCATCAATTTCATTAATTACTGACCTTATTCAATATCTTTTTGTACCAAATTGTGATGTGAACTGCGCTTTTATTCCCAACACAGAATGGCTGCTAGCCGATGAAGAATGGCGTACAGCAGTACGGGTGCGATGGTGGTGCACCAACTCTGGTCGAGCTCGTCTTCTGACAGAGCCACCGCCCACTGCCCCACTAGCTTTACGTCCTACGACCCGTGACCTAGCCACCTTGAGAGCATCCTGTCCTATCTTCAGTAGCACTAGAGCCTTGCTAGCTCTACAAAATGCTACCACACATAGACAGGTCACAGAAGCACTACATTTGTTAGAAAGGTATGGTTTTTGTTATAAATATTGCTTTTGAATTTTATAGAAATTCGTATATTTGGTTAAACAACATTTAAATAGAATAGTTGATGTAAGATCGAAGAAGTCGGGTAAAAATGGACTTATAATTTTTTTTAAAATATGAAAGGCCGGTAACGCACTTGTATCCCCTCTTTTGGTCCGGGTGTCCACGGGGGACGCCGATTGCTTACCATCAGGTTATACATCTGCTCGGTTACAGCCGGTAACCATCCCATAAAAAACTAAAAGAGATAATAAGAATGTGGTTAAACTGATAACGAAGTTATTTTGTTATAATAAAAGGCTGTAAGTAGTATCACGAAAGTTTCTTTTAGTACCTTATTACTTTTATGTTTGGTTGCCAGTATTTTCAATTAGTAATGTTTTTTCTAGCTACGTTTATTTAGTTGCACAGTCGAGCGTCAACAAGAAGGAGTATAGCTCGTTGCCATGGCAACATATGCGGCGGTTCCTGGACGCACCTCCCGCTTCATCCCGTGACACCTCACTGCTTTCTTCTCTATTGCACTTCGTTATAGCATACATGGATAACGTACCGAAGTCTGGTAAGTTATTGTAACTTGACATAGCACTCGCCTTTTGTTTGTGCACCGTGAAGTCAATTGAGGTGCAAAATGTTAGTTGTATTGTCCCATTTTCATGTAAAATTATAGAAGCAACTTATGTATTATCAGAATTCGGATATAATCCCAAACTCTGCTCTGTTATTACACTGAGAATTTTTAAAAACGGAAAGTCTCAATAATGTTTTGCCCGACCAGAGCCACATTACCCGGCAATCGTAAAACAACGAACCAGATAGTTTATGGGTTGACACTAGCGCTAATCTTGAATCGTCTAATACCTGATGAGCGCCACATTACGTGATGCATAGATATGAAATACGTGTGATAAGAATTTATCCTAAAAGAAAATACCTTTGTATTTTATCAGATGACTAATTAGGGCGTTTATAATATGAAATCCATTGGAGCCCCTAGCACTGACAAATATTTATGTATGGTTTAGCGGTCACCAGTTTGGCTGCATGTTTAGTTATTTTGAATTAAGGGCTTGATCAATGTATTATCTTATTTCTATATTCGAATTTCAGTAGAATTTACATACGACTAATTTACTCGCACTGATTACTAAAATACTGGTATAAAAAAGTTCGCCTTAACATTTTATGACCAAAAAGGCATTATGATAAAATTGATTAGTAACTTTTTGTTTCTTTTTGTCTAGATGGCACAATGTCCTGGATAAAATCGTCATTTATTGGCAATGAAGCACACATAATTTCTCTTTTGAGTAGAGATCAGTTGTATCCTCAGCAAACTGCGCAGGAGTGCATTGAAGTGACACAACTACACATACATATTGTGAAGGTGCTACTACGATGTGTTATGATGCTGGAAACCTGGGAAGATTATGACAGCTATAAGTTGGAGAGCTTATTGAAAATTCTTCTTGTTTGCTTGGACAAAGTTGATTTGAAAAATTTCCATATGCTTGGTAAGTTGAGATACAAAATATAATTTATTAGGTTTTTTATTCCAATGTATATTTTAAATGTGACCGACTTTAAAACAGCGACGAATAGTTTATTGTCATCTGTATTTTTCCTTTTTGTTTCTACGATTTAGTTGGCTAATATAATTTTCAACTTTATTGTCTTGTATTAAAATTGAAAATCCAACAAAGTTGATAAATCGTTTGGGGAAGTTTGATATTAATGTGTATTTGTATATTAAGATTAGATTCATCGATAGATTTAGCATTTCTTAGTACAAATAGATGCTATACTAGGTTCTTACGTCATGGCTATATTTTAATGCTATCCAGCGGCGCATATAGTACACAATTGTACAAAACAGATTAGTAAACCTAACATTTTACGTGTATTTAATTTTGATTTGGAGTCACGCAGTATATTTCCTATTATTATTTACTTAGGGCCGATCTTTCAATCATCAGTTATTTTTTTGCTGTAACATAAAATTGTCATTTGACAGTTTTTAGTATCGAAAAATTGTCGAATATTCAAAGATATTCCTTGGTTAAAATTTATCTGGCGTTGAAAAAAATTGGCCCTAAGTCCTTGTCTCGCCACATAATATATAAACACAATGAGGGTTAGGCCGCTTTACATTCTTAGCAAACCATTTTAAACCTTAACCACAAAACCAGTGTCCGTACGCACTATGAATAAACATCGCTTCTCAATTGTTTCTTTGTATGTAATTGCGGTTTTCAAATCAATCGTTTGTGCGTGTTCTTAGATTTCTGTGGGACACGCTGTCTTGCGGTTAAAATTGATCGTGGTTAATTGTACATCGGTCTAGTCTAACGCATACTAAAGACCCTAAAGAGTTGTTTAAAGTTGTTTAAAGAATACATACTCCAAAGAGTTCTAACGGCCCTTATAATAAACTATATTGTTATGATGAGCAACTAAGAAAGGTCATTGACACGGCGACTAAACTTTGTTCCATTTTTTTGGAAAATTATTGCCTAAAAATTTTTACTGAGAAAAGTGTTTAGTTTCAGTAATAATGTACTTCTTTTTTGTTTTCAGGGTACCTAAATGAACTAATGCGTTGTATACGATACGCCGTGAATTCTCGCTACTGTAAACTATCAGAAGATACTTTGATTCAGTGCTTGAAAGTAGTAGCAAGGACACTGAGTGGATGTGCCTCTGGTGGTGGGTGTAAAGGGCAGGCGTGCAGACTGGATGCGACTCTGTCTTTGCTGGCATTGTTAAGGCAGATACATGATGAAGCTATACCTGTGCAGGTAAGTAGTATAATAATGTTTGATTGTTTACCATTATTAATAACTAGCTACTTCCACGTAGTTTCACTCAGCCTGTTGAGCGCTTATTGATTTTAGCGTGATGTTTTTCCTATAACCATCCTTGATAAATGGACTATCCGAAACGTGTCCGTCAAGGCTGCGTGCTATCGCCCACATTGGTCCTCCTTCATATCAATGACATGCTGCAAATCAGCGGCATGCATTGTTAAAGTCATCGCACACCTAACAAGCACGGCTCCGGCACGGCTCCAACCCAGCAATCAGCTTGTCATTTAAATATGAACTTTAAATCGTATGTCGTATGACATATTTCGTAACGTCAATATAAAAAAGCTAACATTTGTCGGGAAAACGTCATCAAGATCCGACCGACACGACTGATACGAACGACACGACCGACACGACAAACATGAACGACACGTCAAACACAACAGACACGATAAACACGACAAACTCGACAGATACGACTGATACGACTGACATGATCGACACGACAGCCGGCTCATTTGTGTCGAAGTATTTGGCACGACCGACACGACCGATACGACCGACACGACCGCTACGACCGATACGACCGACACGACCGACACGACAGATACGACCGACACGACCGATACGACCGATACGACCGATACGACCGACACGACAGATACGACCGATACCACCGACACGACAGATACGACCGATACGACCGACATGACAGACGCGACTGATACGACCGACACGACAGACGCGACTGATACGACCGACACGACAGACACGACCGATACGACCGACGCAATAATACGACCTATACGACCGACGCAATAATACGACCCATACGACCGACGCGTTAATACGACCTATACGGTCGATACGACAGGCACGACCCACATGACAGACACGATCAACACGACAGATGCTATAGACTCGACAGATACGACCGACACGACAGACACGACAGATACGACCGACACGACAGACACGATAGACACGACAAACGTGACCGACACAACCGACAGGATAGACGCGACAGACGTGACAAACGCGACAGATACAACAGACGCGACAGATGTGACTGACACGACATGACAAACACGACTGACACAAAAAAAATATGATCGACACGACAGGCACGACTGACACGACAGACGCGACAAACGCGACAGACACAAAAGACACGATAGACGTGACAGAAGTAACAGACACGATAGATACGACCGACACAACTGATACGTTTTTTTTTTCTATTTTCTATACTGCAACACAGCAATCTGTTTGTAAAACATTTAGCCGCTTTCTTGGCTGACTCATTGTCTGAGTGTGGCATATTGCATTGAAGAGAAGTATCCAATGAATTTCTCTTCCTACTGGCTGTTGAATCGGTCTATGAGGTTAGGTACACTGCTTCTCTTCAGTCTTGCAAATTGGATACTTCCAGATCACGATCAGATCACTTCGTAGCAAGGGCATTGACATGCTTAGATAACTTTTTCTGATAGTTTGAACCTCTCTGAGAAATTTCTTGTTTCGTGTTTGTTTAATTGTGGACTCCTGATTGTATTTCGTACAATTCTGATGTCTCACCATTGAATTTGACTTCATAACATCTTTTGCTTAGGTAACTCGCAAGTATTGGAAAAAAGAAGTGTGGCAGAGACTTCTTGATTTTGTACAGTAGACCCTCTTGCCAGACCTTGTCAAAGGCTTGACTAATATCCAGGAATGCAGCCGAGCAATATTGCTTGGTTTCAATGACTGATACGACTGACACGGCAGACACGAACGAGCGACACGGCAGACACGACCGACACGACTGACGCGATAGACGCGACAAACATAAACGACACGACTGACACGACCGACAACTCCGACACGACCGAAAAGTCCGACACGACCGACACAACAAACACAACCGACACGTCAAACACAACCGACACGACCGACGCGACAGACGCAACCGACACGACAGACACGACCGATACGACTGACATGACAGACGCGATAGACGTGTCAGACACGACAAACATGAACGACACGACCGACACGACAGCCGGCCCATTCGTGCCGAAGCATGACTCTTCCACACTTAACAATATTTTATTCTTATCATTTAGTGAAATTCTGGTAGGTTTTATATTATACGATTATTGACGATTTCCGCGTAGCATCGATAAAAGCGGTTAAGTGCTATTAAGTAGATAAAAATACTTAATCGAATTATGTTTAGTCAGACGATAAAACGTTAACACATATTTTCACTATGACGACTGCCCCACTACCTTTATTCTTTGTATTTTAACCCGTCGAGCGTCCGCGTTCCTTATGATCCAACGGGTGCACACGTGACATTTCGAGAAAGAAAGAAATAAAGAAAGAAAATGCATTTATTTGGCCATTGGCACACGAAAACAATGATCATTACAATAGAAATAAAAAATACAGTCAAAATAAAAACAAAACATTAATAATAGATTTTATAAAAGAGAAAGCAGTATTGAGCATTTTTTCTTATGATCCACCGGGTGCTCATAAGGACGCTCGAGGGGTTAACTAACTTACCAGTGCCATTCTTTAAGTATGTTTCTTCATTATTGTAAAAATAAATAGTCTGATAATGTGGTTCAGATTAGGTATCATAACTGTTATATAACGTAATCAAGACTTTAGTAAACTACAATGGGGATGATGACAGGGTATGAAAATTAAAAATATAATTAGTCCGTAAGTTAGGTAATGAAAAAATATTAGACACGTATTTTTTTATTTTGTCGTATAATAAAACAATACTTAGATAAAACGAATCAAAGTTTAGGAGTGGGGGCTAAAACGTCATTTCTTAGTATAAAATGTACTGAGAAGTGACGTCACGCGACATTTCAAATCAATATATCTTCGAAACTATTCGTTTCTGTGAGAAAATAAAAAATACGTGTCTAATGTTTTTAAATAATCTATCAGACGGACATTAAAATAAAAATTAGTCGTCTACCCAATTGTGTACACCTACCATTAGGAGATAAATGAAGCGCATCTAGATTCAGGAGTGCGTCCGCACATATTTATACAAGGTATTTTTTCCATTATTGACTTTATTATCTTACATTTTGGATCATTTTCAATATTTACTATAGACCGTTATCCTATACTTTACAATCTACGCTTTGAATTGTACTCTAATCTACATTCATTGACAGAATAACAGTTCCTCGCGATAACCACTAAAACTTTTTATCTTCTTACAATAAACTAATGATGTAATGCCACTGTATATTACATTTTATGCATACCAGATAAAAAGAAACGCATAAAAATATGTTTATATTGTATCAATTTATCGGTGCATTAATTATGATAGTAGTAGCAAACGTCCTTGATCATTAAGCTGTTGTGGAGTCGTGCCAAGTGATAAGTTGGCAGCAGGTGCGTTAAGTAAAAGGTATAAGGTCTAGTTTGACCTACATTTAGATATTTAATATTTCTAGCTCCCCATTTGTTTGCAGTTTTACATTTTAGGGAATTGACTTTAAATAGAAAAGTATAGTAACTTCAACTAGTTAACTTCAGTTTGGTAAAAGTGTGGTAAAAGTGTGATTGTATTATTTTTAATAACCTTATTTTTAATACCCCCGTAGGGGTAGGCAGAGGTGCACATTACAGCACCTAATGCCACTGTACAATGTAACACCCACTTTTCACTAACTATGTTATGTGTCCCATGTAATAGGTATTGAACCTAACCGGGCACAATTCCAGACTCCGTGTTACTACTGAGAGTTTTTAAAAAACCCAGCCTCAGACTTCTAGTCATATTACTTCTTCGTAAACAATGAACTTTTTTAAATCGACTTCTCATAATGATTTTTTCTATAAAGTAACATTCGCCCATAGGTCCTACAATTTAATTCCCTTAACTATTTTTCTCTACACAGAGATGGACTGAGGTCTTCAACAGTGATGTAGTACGCACCGTTGTGAAAGGAGTTAGTGGCACACGTCCACAACTACGAGCGGCTGCACTGCACGTGGTCGTTGCACTTGCGCACTACGCACAACTAATGCCACATTTGATGCAAGGTGAGATCTTATAATGGTATTTTGGTGACATGTGTGACCTGGATGGTCTTCTCTTTATCATCATCATCATTATATCAGCCAAAAGACGTCCACTGCTGAATTGCTGTACATATGCCTCATCGAACGGCTTCTAGATAGGCCAGTTGGAAGCGATTTACGTCCAGCGGCTTCTTACAACCTTAACTAGGTTATCTGTCCATCTTGTTGCTGGGTGTCCTGCGCTGCGCTTCCAAAATAAATATACATACATAACTTCACGCCTGTCTTCCATGGGGGTAGGCAGGGACAATGAACGCCAATTACTTTAACAACATAACATAAGGGGTAGGCAGAGGTGCACATTATGCCTCTGTACAATGTAACACCCACTTTTCACTATTTATGTTATGAGTCCCATGTAATAGGGGGTGAGCCTATTGCCATATACCGGCACAATTCCAGACTCCGTGCTACTACTGAGATTTTTTAAAAACCCAGTAATACTTTGCCCTACCCGGAAATCGAACCCTAGGGCAACAAGGCAGACTATAACTGATGATATAATAATAATATTTTTTTTATTTTTGACTTTATGGCTCTGGACCTAGGATTCTATTATTTTTCTCTATTACCATTGGAGGAGCCGGTAAAGCGCATCCCATAGTTGGCAAGCGCCTAAGTTGGAAACCTTATTTATTTTATATTCAGTTGGCAGTTAAACAAACAGAACCCTCTTCCAAGTAAGGAAATGCTGGAGATAAAATCACTTTTTTCTTTTCTTATACAGCCATACAAGAGCCGTCTCTATCCCAGTTCGCTGCAAATATATTTGCGCAGCGTCGTGAAGCGAACACTGTGCGAGCCGCGGCAGCTGCCCTTCTCGCATCGATTGCAGCGAGAGCATCGCCACGATCTGATGTAAGTGTGCCTTTTATTTTGCACAAAATAAAACTAAAGACCCGATCGTGCCTTGTATGGCTTCTTTCATATAAACTATATTTAATTATACATTGCCTGCTACTCTTTTGAGTATG